ATCGCCACATCAATAAGTGTTGTTTGCCTGGTAATTTTATTCACTAGTATGAGATCCGGTCTATTATGGGCCACTGGTTGGTCTGTGAGCACAGTGCGGTCCCAGTATAGCTTGTAGTTGTCATTTTCAAGCATTCTGTCAGGGACATATTGATAATAAGGAAGATGGTCGGTTTGGAGAAGTCCCAGTTTGTCAGCTAGTTCTTGGTGGATAATCTTTCCTACTGAGTCATGGCGTTCTTTATAATCAGTACCGACAAATGCCTGGCAGCCACCGGTAAGATGTTGGATGGTTTCTTGGGCTTGGCATCCATATCGGCATTTGTCGTTTTGGACTTGAGGATCTTTAACAATATATTTCAGGTAATTTTTAGTTGGAATAACCTGATCCTGAATGGCAAGTAGGAAACCCTCAGTCTCGGGAAACATCTTTCCTGATGTCAACCAATAGTTCGACGCTGTATTGTCGACATATTCTTGGTTGATCTCATTGAGATGTCGCCCATGCAGAGGTTTACTCATCCAGGTGCGCATTTTTTCTTGCTTAGTCAGATGGTTTGTGCGCGTTTCTTGTTCCCTCAGTTTAAGCGGCGTTGTGTCATCTACTGCGCAAATTGCTCGATGTAAAGTAGATGTCTCAGCCTGTACCTGAAAATAAGATCTTAAATTAGCAATTTGTTTATCTAATTGCTCACCTATATCCATAAGTCCTCTCCCTCCTTGATACCGCGGTAATGTTGTTCTCTCTACTGCACTGCGTGGATGATGTTTTTGCGCCTTTGTAAGAAGTGTTCTTACTTTCCGCTGAAGACCCTCTATATCCGTTTTTGACCACTTTATAATACCAAATGAGTAGCTCAGCGCGGAACAGGCGTACGTATTTAATGCCTTAAACAAATTTTTACTATTAAGATATGACCGATTTAGTTGTCTTATTCTTCGCACGAACTCCGAAGTTAGTTCAGTTTTCATCTGTTTATGGTCAATTTTCCGCGCCTGTTTTACTCCGAGATATTTGTAAATATCATTTTCACCCATTGCCTCGATGTTTTGGCCATCTTGCATATCGAAACCTCCGGGCTGAACCTTTCCTCTGACTATATTAAGTATACGGCACTTGTCTAGTCCAAAGTGCATACTGATGTCATTTGAGAAAGTTTCTACAGTTTTTAGCATCTGATCTAAGTGATTTCGAGTGGAAGCCATTAGTTTCAAATCATCCATATACAACAGATGATTAAGCTTCGCCACAACAGTGTTGTTATTTTTGATGCTAAATCCTGAGTCAGTGGAGTTCAGCAGCTGAGATAGTGGGTTCATCGCTAGGCAGAACCAAAGTGGACTCAACGAGTCCCCCTGGAAAAGGCCCCGGTTAATAGCGATATCTTCAGTTTCGATATTGGTTTCACCAGGTATTTGAAGGTGAATTTTAGTCTTCCACTTTGTCATTATATGCTTCAAAAAGATCACGAGATTATCATCGACTTTATATATTTTCAATATATCTATAAGCCATTCATGCGGCACTGAGTCAAAAGCCTTCTTGTAGTCAATGAAGGCAGTAAACAGGTTTCGTTTTTTGGTGTATGCCTGGTTAGAAATGACTGAGTCGATAATAAGTTGTTCTTTGCATCCCATGGAGCCCTTAGCGCATCCTTTCTGTTGGGGCTCTATGATATTGTTCAGAGCACAGTGTTGGTAGATACGCCGGGCCACACAGGATGTGACCAATTTGTACAAAGTTGGAAGACAAGTAATTGGGCGGTACTTGGCTGGATCTTGGGTGTTATTTTGATCCTTCGGTATTAGATAAGTGGTTCCCTGAGTAAGAAATGATGGTATTTCCTGCAAATTAGAAATAATATTATTAATAAATACTGTTAAAAGTTCATGAACACTCCAAAACTTCTTTAACCAGAAGTTTTGAACTCCGTCTGGTCCAGGAGATTTCCAGTTATGAAGCTCTTTGATGATGTTCAAGACTTCTTCAGTGGTAAAAGGTTCATAAGGAATATTCCTATAGTGTTGACAATTGTTCTCCGTGTCTTCAATCCATCCAGCATTGTTGTTATGGGTAGCTGGCGTCGAAAGTTGATTTCCCCAAAACTCATGAATTTCTTCTTGGCTTGGGTAGGATTTATTTACATTTTCTACAGTGGAATTTAGTTTTCTATAGAAATGCCTTCTCTGAATTCTCAAAAAGTATATTGTCGCATTTACGGTTGTTACTAACTTTGTATCTCCTTAAGCGACCTGAATAAACGGAGAGTTTTTGTTTTAATGTGTCTAGGCAGTGTTGAGCTGTGTTGTTTTCTGGATCATGTTGTGAGTGTCTTGAAGTGTTCAGAATAATTTCTTCAGCTCTTTTAATTAGTTTTTGACTTCTTACTCCTCGGATGTATTCCGTAATTTGCCCAATATCCCTGCGCAATAATTCAATTTTCCTCAGCAGTCTTTTTTCCCAGGGTGCAATTCTGTTTTCAGTCCTTCCGATATTAGTTCCCCGTCGTGTTCTGATCTTAATGCCCATAACATTAGCAATTGCTGTTGCTGCACAGTAAATCAGCATATGCAAATATTCTAATGTATGTGCTTCCACGATATAATTGGGTAGGACTTCAGTGTTCATAATTTGTAACAGCGCACCTAGTTTCTTACAAGAGTTTATTTTTGGTAGCGGTGGTCGGCTAAGTGGGTTTGTACCATTAAACTCTTGTATGGCCCGTTCCATTTCTCTTACCAGTCTATTGTGCAACTCGTTGTTGTCCTGCTGGGTATTAACAGGTTGAGTGTCTTGTATAAGGGGCTCAGGAATCTGCTCATTTGGGATTTCATTATGGTCTTGATCCACAACTAGCTCTTGGTTATGGATCTCCCGTTCGACTTCGCTTCTAATGGTAGCGCGTCTAGCCTCTGGGATAAGATTATTTCTTATAATTACCCGGTATTGATCTGCTATTCGCTGTTCAGATACTTCAATCTCTGGATACTCCCTGCAAAATTCGGCATACAGTTGTTGTCTATAGCCGATCGTTTCTCGACCGAGGTTCGTCACCTTGTAATAGAAGCGCAAAATGTTTTCATTTATAGACATAGTCCATTTCATGCGCTGCCTCGGTCGTCCCGCTTGTGTGAGCGCCGGCTGATGTTCCAGCGCAGCACCTTCAGCGAGTGGAGCTCTTGTTGTTGTTTGGCTCACTTGTGGTTGTTGTTGTTGTTGTTGGGCTGTAGCTGATTGTATGACAGGGGCCCGCCTCCTCAACACCCTGCCACCGACGTCCCGCATGCTGTCACGTCCAGCGCCGGCTCCAGACGTGCCCTGGCGATCCCCAGGCAGCGACCCTAAACATAAATAATTATTAGTCTCCATTTTCATGGGTGTGCATTTTATACCTACTGCCAGGTGTCAGTTTTTGTTCCACGACAGGTATTCCTGTTACCCTCTGGGTATCGGTTCTAAGAATATCCAGAGAGCATCCCCCATTCGCAGGGGGCCGCGCCTGATAGAAGAACTGATAAAAAACTCCCACAGGTTATTATTATTATTATTATTATTATTATTACTATTTGGTATAAAATCTGGTATTTATAATTCTATCTTTAATGGGTTTTCATAAAATGAGGCTTTTTTGATTGTTTGTTGAGTAGAAAACCCACTTCGCTCTCGTGACTTCCATTTTCTTTACCACTGTATAATACGAGTTCTCTTGTTTGTGAATGGTGTTCACCTTTGCCCAATCATCGTACTTCCGATAGACCAACAAAGCTTAATTTATGCCTATTTAATTCTTTTATTGCGAGAGCTAGTTTAGAAATCTCAACCAACAATTTAGAAATTCCAGCAACCAAATTGTGTCCGTGTTTCATTAAATGTTTCATTAAAAAAATGAAATTTAAGATAAGTACGTTATTGGCCTTCCGCACCCGAATCTGGTGCCGGGGCTGCCGACTGTAGCTTCCAGACAAGTCTCAGGAAGTAGTGGTCCTGGAGGTGGCAACGACATTTCTTTCGTGCGAGATGTTAAGATTATACCGCCTTTACTCGGTCGGTGAGTCTATGCCTTGGGAAAACTTAGGTCTGAAAAAGTAAATGCTATTTAAAAAGGGCACAAACTAACCAAATATATCTTATTTAGTCACTTTTGAACTTTATATAGAAAATGTAAATTTTTTTGTTAATTGGCATTATTGTAATATATAATATAAATATAATACACGTAATAGATATCTAAATTCAAGAATCAACAATTTTATTAAAATTTATTTGCTAAATTGTGTTGTTAAATGAATTTAAAAAAATCTGCTTGATAAAAGCTAAGAAGCTTGAAACAGTGCTGCCGTAGTATGTATATCCAATGACAAAGTTTTTGTTATTACTGAGTTTTAAATTCAGGTTTCAATCATGTATGTGAAAAAGAAAAGAAGAGATGAATAGATGTAGTAATATTTATTGCTTGTTAATATAATAATTATGCAGAAAAGTATATAAGCAGTAATTAATTAAATAAAAATGTTTATAGTGGGAGAATATAGAGAAGAAAAGTTTCTAAAATGCATTTAATTTATTTAGACCTAATTGTAAAAATAAACCCGCAGGATAGGTATCATTTTTGTGATTGTTTTGTCACAAAATAATCGTTTCAAAGTATCAATCTTCATTATTTTTTGACAAAAATCATAAATAAAGCTAGGATAAGTGAGATCTCGTAAAATTTTTGCAGTCCAGTCAAGTTTTTTTTTCGAATTCCTGCCCCCTAATTTTTTTTTACACCTTAATATAATATACTCTAGTTGGCATCAATTATGTCTTAATAAGATTAAAAGAAGTTCAACATCTACGTTATTAAATAAAACTCTGTTATAAGCTCTGTTAAATAGAATACTGTTACGATTTAGAGCTTTCACATTTACATTAAATTGCTTTCTTTTAATCTAATTATATAGGACTTTCCGTTTTTCCTGCAATTAAGAGTGCATTTGTTTATTTTTATTTACCTTTAGATTTCAGAATAATCCCCAAAAACGTGTACATGTGAATTTCGAAGCTGACTGGACAAGTGAGTATGACTGGTTCTTTCTTGAAATCGATTTGCCTATATCAACTCTAGCCAGAAGTTTAGCAACTGAAGAGTGGTCCGAGCAATGGTTTCAAAATTTAAAGAAGTAAGTATTCCCATTGTTATTTAGAATAAAATTAATATAACAAACTTTGCTTACTAGAACCAAGAGGATATTAAGTTTCCTGATTTAATTTCCTTACCCCAAGACAAAATGATCTTTAGTATAAGTAACATAAATCCAAAAACTATTGCTCACATAATAACGCTGCTATTGAAGCGCACTATTTATTTCAGTAATTTTATAAAATAATAAAAATTATAAAATTAACGTTAGGTCTAAAAATTTTGCCTTAGTATTTCTAGGCAAACTACAACTTGCATCATTCAATAACCCCAAAGAACTAATAGATTCCATAATGGAAGTTTATTTTATTTAAAAATAAAACAGTAAAAATGTTTCTCCATACTTCCACAAAATTTATTATAACTCATTTTTACTACAGCTGTTTTATCAAAGTGCCTTTCTCAACTGATTTTTTTTTTATTATCATCGTCTTAACCTGCAAAATTCGTAAGTCCACATTTTATCAAATTTGACATGTTAACGCCATCGTTCGCAAAAAAAATTGGTGAATTTGTTCAAGAAATTGCAGGAAATCCAAAAATTGAAGGGCTCGGGTGAAGATAATAATAAGTGACATTTCTACAAAAAATGTTCAGAGATTGAACTTAAAACTTTACCGATTGATTACTCTGTTGCAATGACATTTGTTATAGCAGTATTTTCACATATTTCGTAAATTTTAAATTTACGAGAAAAACGATACTTTGAATAAAAAACACTGTAGATACCATTTTTTAGGTTTATTAAATTGCACATTGGATATAAAAATAAAACAAATATACTAAACAATGTTATTAGAAATAAACACAAAAAACAATAATAGAAATAAGAAAAACATTACAGGGACTTTGTAAATAATGAATCGCATGTAAAACTCGCGATGAACGTTGGGAATCCAATCCAAACACGAAAGTACATATTCAAGTTTACTTGGTTCAATACCAAGCCGTGTAGAATATATTTTTTTAAGATCTTGAATAAAATGGTCTTGTAGGATCCCAGTTCTTTCTCTTCTTTGAATTAAGTATAAACTCACCATTGTATGTATCAGCGATTTCGATTTGTTCAAAGTTCTCAGCAGAGAAGCGCATTCGCACAGCATTTCTAATACTACATGGATTAGCCGGTGTAGACTTGGGTTTTTTTGTTGCATTTTTTATCGCGTCTTTTTTAGCTTTAGCCTTTCTGTGATGAAGTTCTTGCTTCAATTGATTTTCATTTCTTTATATTGTAGCCTCTTTCAAAATAACATAGATTAAATCACATATGTGGCACGTGTCGGATTTAGGTAATTTAAATTTAGTATTAAAGTCGTCAGTAAATACTCTTTGAAACTTATCAGCAGATACACATTCTTGATTTTGCAATATACATTCAATTTTGTAAACCTCATAGAGCTTCTCTATTGTATAGTCCATTGTCATAAAATATGTGTTACAGTTGTTATTTCGGGAATAGTGACTCTTATATTTTGGGACTATTTCAATTAATTCTTTAAGAAATAGGATTTTCTCATTAGAAATTTTTTTTTTGTGATTTGCATGACGTCTTCTTCCATCAATTTTCGGCTTTAGTAAACCTTGTTTAATGTTTTAGTAATATTCTCGACTCTACCCCTATTATGTTGTAGTCCATGTATATTTTAGAAATGCTTTCTTACAAATTTGTTACCTCGTATTGCCTGTAGTTGTTATTAAATAATCGACAGAGTGACTCCTTCGGGAAGGCGACTCCTTTGTTTTGGTACTGCGGGCCTTTGTTTTAATCTGCATGTAATCCAAATAAATACGCATTTTGGGTATTAAAATTATTTATCTTACAAAATTTCTGAAAAATACTTTTTCTTTCATCTGTTGATACTAACTCTTTGCACAAACAACTTGTCCCATCGATTTTTGTGGTATAACGTTTTCCTTTCCTCTTTTGCAAGTATATGATTGGCCACTGTTCCGTTTGTTTTGATGTCGCTGATTGATGTTACATCCTCGTTTTCTTTTTCTTCCTCAAACATTGTTTTCCTTGTCAGGTTCACCAGACACTGCATTAGTATTGTGGTTGGGTGACGGTGTAGGCCATATCTTACAATGCTTCTGCAAAAGAAATTAAATTTATACAAACAGAACATTTTTAAGCGTAAGAAAATTTCGGACTTTCGGATTTTCGGATTTTCGGATTTTCCTGAGAAAACTAATAAGAATTTTTGATAAAAATTACATTACTATAGAGGGTCAAAAGTCCCTTAGAATAATCGAAAAGTTTCTTTTGAATAATATACACTACCGAGCATAAAATTAGGGTCACCCCACAATTTGAATTTATTTTAGAAATTATTATTGTGTTTTAATCATTTTCGGGTGTAACATAATTTACTAATGGATTTCTTAAAAAAAAAAATGTTGTCGTTGTTGTTTCGACAAGCGTTTGAGATAAAAAGGGCCCCTTAGACTATTTACTAAAAACCGTTATCAGCACAGTTTTTGTTTTTTATGGTTTTAAAGTCAATTGTAAATTGTTTGTGTATTGTTATCACTGTCAGTGTATTGCAGTGCGAGAAACGTAGGTGTAAGTCTCTCGAGTGTGCAATGAGTATGGCAACGGTACGAAGAGACCAGTCTGCTTACTCGAAGACCTGGTTCAGGTCGAGGCAGGATTACCCCAGCTAGAGATGACTGCTTTGTCATCTCGAAAAAGTGTCATCTGCAAAAAGTGAGAAATGTAAACATAAGTGAATGGACAGTTAGGAGACAAAGATGATGAATGGATTACTTGTAGCTAACCTTCTACATCTTTTCAGTTGCTAAAGCTTTTTTGACTTAGTCTATTATGCTTGCAAAATTTTTAAACCACTCTTTGCCAGGCTTTCCTTCCTTACACTGTGTAGTAAGGTGGTTTTTTTGTATTGTAGTAAGGTTTGAACTAGTGCTTATATCTCCGGTTTAATGACTGAAAACCCCCATTTTGCCTTAATTTTTATCTTATCAGTTAAGTCTTTTTCAATTTCTTTGGTTAGAGAAGTATTTCTTCCCTGTTTACCAAGTACACGAGTACGTCTTCTCGACTTCTCGACTTCTTCTCTATTTATTGCATCATAAAAAATATTTTTTATGTCTACAAATTTAAAAGTATTCTGTTTGGCTGCTACAGAATTTTTCACTTCTGCTTGGATGAGTTTAGATCAATAAATAATAATTAAAAATAATAAGATGAGCCTAGATAAATAAATGAAAAAAAAAGAAAATACAATGGTAGTAACCAAAAATCTAAGACTAAGAGTTAGGCAGAACATCAGTATTAATGATCACAACTTCGAAGTGGTAAAGAAGTTTAGATACCTGGGGGCGATAATCACAGCTGACAACTACATAGAAAAAGAGGTCTAAGCAAGGATAGCTGCGGGAAATAGAGCATTATACTCCCTTTCAATATTGTTAAGATCAAAGCTGTTAAAAAAGCTGCAATAAGCTTCTAATATTTGAAAGAAAGGTTTTCAGAATATTATTGGGCCCCCAAAGAGATGAATTCACAGGGGATTGGGGAAGACGCCGCAATGCTGAATTGGTGACTGTATGGAACTGAAAACAGTTAGACATATCAAGGCAAACCGAATAAGATGGACAGGTCACGTGGTACGATCAGAGGATGACAGAGTGTTAGAGACAGTCTTTTTTGAAAGACCATATCATAGAAGATCAGGAGGCCAACCGACAAAAAGATGGAAGGATGATGTTGAAACCGATTTATCTAGAATGGGGGTACAACAATGGGAAATAGAAGCGCAAGATCTATCTATCTATCTATAAATATCTAGAAATCTATCTTTACTGTCAATGTGACAAATTATTAGTCTCTTTCCTTTTCCTGAAAATTTTAAAAGTTATTTGACGTGAAAAAGCAGGTATACTTTAATATACAGTCGCCACTAAAGTATTGTAAAATTTTGTTATCTGTTATCTGCCATGTCATTATGAAGTCATTTTTATTTGATAGGATTATTAACAAAAGCAGGTAGCAGTTGCATCGTTCATCTGTGACTGGACTATTTGTTTATGGTAGATACCCCTCGAAACCTAACCACTCAAATAAAAATGACTTTGTAATTAGCTTCTGGAAGATCACACCATTTTTTTAACATATACCGCACATATGGGTATCAGATACATAATGATTTTTTGTGAAGAAATTAAAAAAAAGTAAATATTTTTTGATTTCTAGAGACTGTCTATTCACTATTGAATACACAAAAATATAACACAGAAACATAATTCAAAATATTTTACTTCAATTTAATAACAAAATGGTCTTTCTAACTAAAATCTAACAACTTAGCCAGGTATTTCAATTTCACTCATTTTAGTTACTACATTCACAACATCGTTTAGCTCTATGCTCCATGCAGTATATTTTATGGCAAGCCTAGCATGCAATCTTCGTTTTTCATCTTTTCCTTCGCAGAAATAACACCTAGTTTGCTTTACTTAACTTGTGAGGTGTTGTGTTGGAAGCTCGAAGAATGCCACCCACACATTGTTTGCCTGAGTGATTTCTGTGAAGAAGGTATTTAGAGTCTCTCTTGCATTAGTGGTCTAATTAAAGCCATTCCCAAATACTTCAGAAATGATCTAATATTAGATGCATTTTCTTTCCAATGGAGATTTGCGAGAGAAAATAGCACCATTGCATTTATACCATTTGCATCAAGCATGTGAAAAAAAAAATCTTAGTGGTCATCGTCTGATATTTTGATTATCATCCTCGTTGTTTTCATCAGCAAATAAATTTTCAACTTTTCTTTTCATTTCAGCTTGGGTCAACGGACGACGTTTTATCCAGTTTTCTTTCCAACTACATGAAGCCATTTCTCAAAAAAAATCATTATAAAAAAACTAATAAATTATGACAATCCTCACACATGGGTGCTACATACCCCAAAGATTATTCAATAAATTTTAGTGATTGGAAATATTGCTTGAATGAGACCGCAACTACACATCCGTCCTTGGCAGACTACAGAATGAATTTACATAAAGCGGCATTACCATTGAAATGTGGTTACGTATGCTACATTCAGTTAAGTGTCTGGATGGGTATCTTACATCCAAGTGTGAACTTCCAGGGTTAAGTTAATGTTTTCTGCAATAATTTGTTGGCAACTATACCTGCAGGATTTTATAGCCCCATAGACAATCCATCTAAAAACGCTTGTTTATAGGATGTTATCGAATTGTCGACCCATACTTTAAATTTGTTGTGACAAGCGTTTAGCCAAGTCTCGTCTAAGTAATAAATTTTGCGATTTTAATTTCTGTAGGACTTTATTTTGATCAGAAATTGTCGACTCCACTGTTTCAGTAACGAAGTTGAAACTTAAAATTTTTTTAATAATTTAAAAAACAGTTCGTTTGAAATTAAGTAAAACCAGATCTTCGATACGATTATTGGCGATTCTTAATTAAAAAAGAATATATTTTGGACTAACTAGAGTGCCTATCGCTAACAAGTGTTCTTCTAATTTGACATTATTGAGATAATTAAAAACTATTGCTTGTAGTTTGGATGGATAAATTGGTTCCTGTTGTTTACTTGCTGCAGCTGAGTAAGATAAAGGTGGTTGCGAAGTATTATTTATCGTTATTCTCAGTAACACCAAATTCCAGTATTTTTTGATAGTTACCTTTGATGAGAAAAACTGGTGTTGATAAATGGCTGAATTTATGTACTGTTTTTCTAAGATACTGTGATCACGGATTACTTTATTAATAATAAAATATGTACTTCCAGATCTTATTTCTTCGATTCACAACGAATTGATACTACAACACTTAATGGTAGTGCAGTGCAAAAATTTTACGATCGTCATTACTATGTAATTTTTACAATTTGTCAGAATCGATCAAGAAGCTTCTATACTATTCGATATCGGCGCCGAACTCAAATATGCTTTAGTGAAATAAGATATAATAAAAAATTTAGCTTTTATAATACTTTATAAAATTCAGCTTTTTTCTTTGTTATTCGTTCATGCGTTAATAATTCTTATATTCTTTTAGTGTACATCAACGTCATTATGAACAAATTGGTCATGTAAACGGAACTTTAGAAATAGATGGAGAAGCATATCCAATTGTAAATTGGGATTCATTTAGAGATCACAGCTTTGGTAAATATTAACACTAATTTATTGGTAAATTTTGTTCACTAATACCTACGTAATATTCAACAAGTATATAAAGCATAAAAGAAGGTCACTAAACTACCGTATTTCTGACTATCTTAAACACATATTTTGTTATATTTTTTTTCTTTGTTACGACCTATGTCGATACCTTTAACTTTTTCTTCTCTCTCTTTATATATATATATATATATATATATATATATATATTATATATATATATAAAAGGATCACTCAACAGAGTGGTGGGCTCTTATATCGGTCAATTTGTAGGTGGAGAAATGAAAGACAAAGTTGATGTGCCACTCTATCTATTTTGAAAACGTTTCGCTTTCGTATTCTGAAAGCATCATCAGTTCATTCTAAAAAGTATAATATAAGAAGCACACAATCATGGAAAAGATGTTACAGGTGTTACCTTAAAAAGACATGTAGCAGTCAAAGATGTTAACAAGCTTATGAATTAAACTTGAATAAATGGACAATATAAAGTATTTAATATATATAAAATATATATATATATAATATATATATAATATATATAATAATATATATAAAATATTTGCATCATCTACGTTATAATTTAATATATATTTTTTATACTTCTGACCACATGGTCACTCACTGTGCTAATTTTTTAATAAGTCACTAAATGTTGTTAGTAAATTAAATGTTTATACACTTCTACTTTATATTGTCCATTTATTCAAGTTTAATTCATAAGCTTGTTAACATCTTTGACTGCTACATGTCTTTTTAAGGTAACACCTGTAACATCTTTTCCATGATTGTGTGGTTCTTATATTATACTTTTTAGAATGAACTGATGATGCTTTCAGAATACGAAAGCGAAACGTTTTCAAAATAGATAGAGTGGCACATCAACTTTGTCTTTCATTTCTCCACCTACAAATTGACCGATATAAGAGCCCACCACTCTGTTGAGTGATCCTTTTATATATTGGAATTTGACGGTCGTACTCCTTTTTCCGATATATATATATATATATATATATATATATATATATATATATATATATATATATATATATATATATATATATATATATTGCTATGATGTGTTGTTTGTGTATGAGCAATGAGTGTTTTAAAATAACATATATAGGGTTTTTATCGCGGTTCTCAAAGTATTAGTTTATAAGTACTTTTTTAAATTATCGTTATTATAATTATTATGATACACACATATATAAGAATAAGAATAGGGAAAGACCGCAGTGCCTTTAACAATATGAAACAAATGTTGTGTAGCCGAAACCAAAGTCTAAAGCTGAAAATACGAATGCTTAAATGTTATGTTTTCTCGGTCCTGTTATATGGGGTGGAGGCGTGGACACTAAATAAGCAATGTATGGGTAAGCTGGAGGCAGTTGAGATGTGGGCGTACCAAAGAATGTTAAAAATCTTCTGAAAGGATAAGATAACTAACCAAGTTGTATTAGACAGGATGAACAAACAAAAGGAGGTCGTATTGAGTGTTAAAATGAGGAAACCACAATACCTGGGACATATTACACATGGGAATAAATATCAACTGTTACAACTAATTATGCAAGGAAAGATTGAAGGTAGGCGCAGCATAGGTAGGAGAAGAATGTCATGTACAATTGTTTCGAGCGGCAGCCTCCAGGGTCAAAATTGCCATGATGATAGCCAACCTTCGTAGCGGAGATGGCACGTGAAGAAGAAGAACACATACATATCTACTATAGACAATATATATTTAGAATAACCTATCTTAAATTTAAAATTCTTACAACAAAATTTGGTACCTTTCTGTCACTGAATGCCTAAATGAAACTGTTTTCGAAAATAAAGGGTTTAATCACCAATCAATATCTTCGTTTTCAGCCTCGATTATCCTTGTTTTTGTGAAATTACTTTTTTCAAATACATCAAAATGTTTTAATTATCAGCTTCCACCAATTTAAAATATTTGTCTTCGTAATAGTATTTATAAATAGGCAATTTATAAATAGGCAAAATATTCTTCTTTCTTTATTATTCTTTGTTGTTTATTCTTCTTTTTAATAATCTTATTTTGTTTTCAATCTCCAATCACCATGTAAATATTATAATTTTTAATTTCCAACTAATACTCTCTTACTCATCTTTAATATCTACGTAATATACTTTCTAATACCATAAAAATTTGAATCACTGTTTACTCCATACATACTCTATTGTATAGTTAATACTCTAATACTGATTACTGTATACTATATTATACTATGAACTGCTGGTACTGACCGACTGACTGACTAACTTCTTAATGAATTCACTAACTAACTGTCTCACTGTAAAACTGTAACTGTGTTAATTTACTCTCATACTGTCAACTGTAACTGTCCTCTATCCTCCAAATTACATCGTATTTACATCATTTAATCGTTCCCGAATGTTCTTGAAAGCAATCATATTCGAATTTGTTCTATTTTCTAGATATATGTATGTTCTCGAATAGTCTACCTCTCAAATAGGTTTGTTTTGAATGCCTTACACCGCCATGTACGTGATTATAGAAAAATTGAAACTTCATTTACAGTTTTTTAAGTACCTCTTCAAGCGTTACATAAAAGTAACACTAGGTCATAATGGGTTAAACCTATTATCAGAATATAATTCGGTACGTGCACTGTGGGTTATGTTTACTGGTTTTCATAAAATGTAGCTGAGAGTGCTTTATTTTAGTACATCCATATAGGATAATTAATATCACACTGGAAAATATTATCGCATGAGCACCTTCCTGATTCTATAAAATTTAATCTAGCCAGCGGAGTAGGAACAGCATCAAGACTAGTTGTTAATCTTGTTGCTCGTTTGGATATGTTATAATGGAATATATATGGTAATTATGTTTGGGATAGTAATGTTGGCTGAATTTTGTAATAATGTTAATTTGATGTATCCGCTAATATTTTCCACCTGTCTTGCTAGTTAAAATTTATTTTTTTGGTCATAAAATTTGATTTGATCTGTTACTGTGTTAATATATTCTTATATCCCAGAATGAATAGAATCCTCAGCAAGCTCGTCTACTACATCATTAACTTTTATCTCTGTGTGACTTTTTGCCAAATAAATGTTTCCCACTTATTGTTTAATATCATATACCAGCTAACATGTTTTATGGTTTAACCCGTAACTGGCGAGGTCCACTTTTTGTTACGTGTATGGTGAGTTAAGGTCACACTAACCTCAATTTGTTTTGCAAAATTAGACACTGATATTTGTTCAAAAAAAAAATGACTTCTATAACTTAAAGACGTATATTTTGTAATAATATAAATTTACCAAGTATTTGTAATACTTATCACGCATGAAAAACTTAAACTAAGAAACAGCCTCAAAAACTGAGTTGTTTAGTAACTAGACTAAACATTATCCTGTAGCAAAAAAAAAACAGGAAATTTTTTTTTTCATAAAACATAAACTTAAAAATTCAATCTAACCTACCAACAAAAAGAAATAACCAAAAACAAAAAACATCATAAAAACTACAATCCATTCTTTTAGGTAATCTTTGCAAATGTGTGTTTCACACATGTGGCATATTGGCGCTTTGCAACTCTTGCTTTCCAACTACGTGGTTTCTTGATACCATTCTCGGAGATTTCGTAGCCAGGATGTTCTTCGTCGGCCTGGGCCTCTCCTTCCGTCGATCTTACCCTGTATTATGAGGTGTAGAAGGTTATACCTCTCTGGATGTCTCATTATATGACCGAAATATTGTAACTTCCAAATTTTTATCGTTTTTGTTATTTCTGCGCTCTTTTTCATTCGATGTAAAACTATTTCATTTCTCATTCGATCAACCCAACTTATCCGCAATACTCGTCGATAAATCCACATCTCAAAGGCCTCTAATTTTTTCATTAATGTCTCTGTAAGGGTCCAGCTCTCCATACCATATAGCAATGTGGAGAATATGTAGCAGCGTATTAATCTGATTTTAAGATTTAACGTAATATCTCTATTAATTAGAATTTTCTTTAATTTATAGAAGGCGGCTCTGGCTTTTTCAATGCGTATTCTTATTACTTTATTTATATCCCAGTTATCGTTAACATTTGCACCCAAGTAGATAATATTGTGGACTCTTTCTAACTCTATTCCATACGCTCTGATGTTCGTTGGTTGTAACTCCGTCTTGCTGACAACCTTAAATTTTGTCTTAGAAGTATTAAGTTTTAGCCCATATTCATCACATGCTTCGGTTACCCCATTTATAAGTCGTTGCAGGTCTTCTTCATTGGAGGCAATAAGTACCGTGCGTCTGCATATCTGAGATTGTTGACATTAATTACGTTGATTTTAATGCCTGTATCTTCAACTAAGGCTTCTTTAAAAATAAATTCGGAGTAGATATTAAAAAGTAGTGGCGATCGAATACATCCTTGCCTCACTCCACGTCGTATTTCCACTGCTTCCGTCGTGTTGTGTCCAGCTCGTATGTGTGCACATTGATGCCAATACAAATTTGTGATAATACGGAGGTCTCGGTCATCAATTCCCACCTGGTGCAAGACACCTTGCAACTACTTAAGGCAAACTATCTTCGTTTTTCTATCCAATGATCATTTGGTCACCATTTGAGCACCTTGTCTGTTTTTAAAATGGAAACGATATTATGTCTCAGTTACCTTGGAATTTAAAAAATAATTAGTCTTCTTTCCATATGATCCTGTAAAAATTATTAAGCCAAAAATTTGATGAATTCATACCTCGACTTTTGGGCGTTTACAGGTAGGGATGAGTATTATAAACGCATTGATGAAAGAAATATCCAGAATTGTATAAAAACAAGTAAGAGACCATCTTCGACTTCTACGATATGTATAATATACTGTACATTACTCATCTAATGCATCGACGACACCTTTTGTTTGATTATAAAACTTGATAATTTTGAGTTTGTTTGTTTCATCGTTTACTGAATTACTGTAGTGGATTAAAGATATCAAAAGTACGGCTTTTCGTTGTTTAGGTACATATGAAACTAATGTAACTCTATCGCCAAATCCAAGTAGAGATGATCCCGTGAGCCTCGTTTTAGTTGGCAAAAAAGAAATAGGTATCTCCCTTTTATTTTTTTAACAGTACCCACATAAGTTAGGCCTCGGTTCCTCAACCCAGTAATCACTTCTAAGGATATAAACCAGTTGTCTGCTGTTAGGTTGCGGTTAAAATTCTCAATTAATTTTACTAGACAAAGAACTGATTGCGTTGGTTTGTTAAATTTTCTTTCCTCTTCTGACAATGTTAGGCCATCATTTTCAGCACCTGTATATACATACACATCCAAAAAGTAATGAGTTCGGGCGCCAGTTAGTGCTATTATCTTTAAGCCATATATTCGGGGTTTTTGAAGCATATACATGCAAAATAAACATTTTCCCGGAAACCAATGAGCATATTATTAATACAAGCACACTGCCCTATGCAATAATTTTTTTTGCTGTTTTCTACAAACTTACTGAAAATTGATGAAATGGGGCAAGTTTTTCGGTTTTTTCTCGTTTTTTACGTTTCGTTTCTCGTTTCGTTTCACGTTTTTCCCTCATAGTTTCGTCATCAAACCTAAGCGCTGTCAAAAAGTACTAAGAATCGTTCTATTAACATGGTGCATCCAAAAATTTCTCTAAAAGTACCGTCGGTAGCGAATATCAAACTCAAGTCTTCCGTATTGGATATAAATATGGCTGAGTTAAATAACAAACCGATAAACGCTCTTAGTTCAATAATATCTAAATCTTTTAGATCTGTTCTATTATTATCGGTATATTTTATTCTAATCCTGGCAAGTTTTTCATTTGGTCTAAGAACAATCCCTTCTAAAATTTCCACTGATGGAAAGGTACTGATGCGGTCAAGTAGTCGCGCTAAATTGGCTAGGACGTATGTCACTTTAAAAATCTGCCTGGGCTTATATAACCCCGCATTACCAGTAACGGGTTAACTTAGAATTATTAAATCCGCTCAGAACTGAGATGATCAAAGCATAACTACTGCTTCTAGTGTTTCAGTGTAAATGAAGAAATGTGAAGGAAGTTTTATTTTAAATGATTTGTTATTGTAAGGAATGTATACTTCAGACCCTACCTTCCCATTGTTCAGTTTAGAGCCATCTGTGTAAATTATAGTTTTATTGGTATATTCATTCAATATGGAGCTCAAAACGGTATTATTTATTTTATGTAAATCTTAATACTTCGGAAATATAATATTTGTTTTTTTTTTGAAGATTGTACTAAATTCTAATTTGTAGTGTGGTATAATAAAATTTGTTGATATTGTAACCGGTAAATCATTGGGCTCCAGAAAGGCATTTGCTAATGGTGGAGAATTTTTAATTTTCCAATAATTGGTTACTAAATTTTGTATGGATAATTGATACAGCATACTCATTACTCATTGAGCCACTTATTCTGGCCCTTAATTTTAATAAATATTTTTTGCCGATAAATTTCTACGATTTTCTAATGGAATTTCATTATTTTCAACAAGTAACAGAGCGCATGGTGTTGAGTTACTCATAGCACCCAGAGTATATGTCAAACTTTTAAATTAAACACGATTTATTTTAAGTAAATATGTATTGCTTGTTGGTCCGTTAACTTCTTGTTCTTCTTTAGATACCATCTCCTCTAAGGAGGTTGGTAATCATCACAGCTATTTTCACTTTTGAGATTGCAGCTCTGAACAAGTCGACGGAACTGCAATTATACCACTTTCTCAGATTGTTGAGCCAGGAGATGCGTATTCTTTAAATACTTCGTTTTCCCTGTATTCTTCCCTGCATTATGGTTTGTAGCAACACATATTTATCCCCTCTCATAACGTGGCCCAGACACTGTAACTTTCTTATCTTAATGGTATTCATGATTTTCATTTCCTTTGTCATCATTCTGAGGCCTTCAACATTTGTTATTCGGTCTACCCAACTTATTTTTAATATTTTTCGGTAGGTCCACATCTCAAATGCTTCATGTCGATCGTTCACCTCTTTCTTTAAGGTTCAGGCCTCCACCCCATACAGCAGCACCGAAAACACATAAGAACGTAATATTTTTATTTTGAGTTGTAAACTAAGGTTTCTACTGCATAATACTTTTCTCATCTTATTAAATGTTGCTCTAGCTTGTCCAATTCTCATTTTTATTTCTTCTGTATACTCGTTATTTTCATTAATAATTGTACCAAGATATCTGTATTTTTTTTTTCTATTGGAACTCCTCTTATGTTTAAAATGTCTTGTTGTTGTATTTTGAAAATTGTCATAACTTTTGTTTTATTAGCATTAAGCGTTAGTCCGCTTTCCTTACTAGCATTTACTACATTATCTAAAAGTGTCTGTAGATCTTGTATATTCTCTGCAATTAGTATAGTATCATCGGCATATCTGATTTTGTTGATGGGTCTGCCGTTGACTTTTATTCCAATTGTTACATTTTCAATCTAATTATTGTTCAATCTAAGTGCAAGCAAACCACTTCCAGAGGTTTCTCAACCATGACATTCTTCTCCTAATTATGCAGCGCCTACCTTCAATCGTTCCTTGCATGATTAGTTGTAATAGTTGATATTTATTCCCACGTGTAATATGACCCAGGTATTGTAGTTTCCTCATTTTAACATTCAATACGACCTCCTTTTGTTTGTTCATCCTGTCTAATACAACTTGGTTAGTTATCTTATCCTTCCAGGAGATTTTTAACATTCTTCGGTACGCCCACATCTCAAATGCCTCCAGCTTACCCATACATTGCTTATTTAGTGTCCACGCCTCCACCCCATCTAGCAGGACCGAGAAAACATAACATTTAAGCATTCGTATTTTCAGCTTTAGGCTTAGGTTTCGGCTACACAACATTTGTTTTATGTTGTTAAAGGCACTGCGGGCTTTCTCTATTCTTATTCTTATTTCTCTGGTGTATTTGTTTGACTCGTTAATATTTGTTCCGTGGTAATTGTAATTTTGTACTCGTTCAATGAGATTCTGTCCTACATGTAAGTTGATATTATCGATTCGTTTCTTTGTAATTATCATGAATTTGGTCTTCTTTGTATTCAGTGACAGACCAAATTCTTTACTTGCTTCTACCACTTTGTTTAGTAATCTCTGTAGGTCGTCAATATTTTCTGCTATCAGCGCGGTATCATCAGCATATCGGATATTGCAAATCGGGTGACCGTTGATCTTTACTCCGGTTTTTTCGTTTATAAAAGCTTTTTTAATAACTTCTTTCGCGTAGACATTGAACAAGGTTGGAGACAACACACAGCCCTGCCAAACACCTCTTTTGATCTGTATTCTATCTGATATCGAGCTGTTAATTCGTACTGTAGCTTCTTGTTTGTAGTATAGATTTCTTATCACTCGCATGTCCCTTGTATCAATATTTTTATTTTCCAGTATTTGCATCAGTGGCCTATGTTTTACTGTATCAAATGCTTTGTTATAGTCTAGGAAACACACAAATATGTCCTGATTTACGTCTAAACATCGTTGTGTTAGAACGTTAAAAGCAAACAGTGCCTCTCTAGTTCCTAGTCCGTCTCTAAAGCCAAATTGAGATGGTCCGATGTCAACTTCCAATTTTTTATATATTCTCCGATGAATGATTTTTAAGAAGACCTTTAATATATCACACATGAGACTGATGGTGCGATGTTCCGAGCATTTTCTCGCATTAGACTTTTTGGGTACAGCTATTATTGTTGTTACTAGTCATTCATTAGGTATGATACCAGATTTGTAAATGCTGTTAAATAGTTCCACGATCTTTATTAAGTTGTTGCCTTTGATGAGTTTAATTATGTCTATTGGTAATTCATCTGGGCCTGTAGCCTTCCTTGACCTCATTTCTTTAATCGTGTATTCCACTTCATCTCTTGTTATTTCTGGTCCTGTGTCACTGTTTATGTATTCGTTATCTACATTGTCTCTTTGATCTTTAAACAGTTGTTCTATGTACTGTTTCCAGACTCTTAATTTTTGTTTCTGTGTCCATAATAATGTTTCCACTCTCGTCTAGTAATATGTTGTGTCTGTCACTTTGTCTCCTCGTCAACTCTTTGATCTTCCGATGTGCTGTCCTTAAAGCTGTCGTGTTTATTTTGTAGTTGTTCGATTTCTTCGCATTTTTCCCCGTACCAGTTTTCTTTAGCTGTGCGTATTTTTAGACGAATTTCTTTTTGTATCTCTTTATACTTCTGGTTCTTTTTGTTTTTCTGTTTTCTTCTTTCATCCATTAAGTTCAGTATCTCATCTGTCATCCATTCTTTTTTATATTCTTTACTTTTACGGAGGTGACTTATGCTTGGTTTCATTAACGCTGTTTTAATGTCTGTTCCATTCTCATTGATGCCTGTCCTTATGTATAATTAAGCCTTACTGTTCGAAACGCATTAGGAACCCATCTAAATTTTCTCAGCGTCAGAACACCAGTAGAACTTTTTCGAATGCCGCGAAGGTTCGATCAAAAGCGTATCAAGGCTGGCGTTACAATATAAGCTAGAGAAGCGAGTGTTTGCAAATGTTTTTGTTTTATGCTGCCAATTAAGGTGATAATGAAGTAATTTTAACTTTTTTCTTTTAGGTTTTAAAAGAGACTGGTCGCTTATGCATCGTTTTATCTATACTACTCTCATTCTATCCGACAAAACAACGATCGTTTTAGGTTTAATAAGTCAACCAATTACCATGTCACATCTAGAAATGGGATTCGTAAATCATCCAGATGGTAGGATTCATCCTGTCGAAAAAATTGATTTACTTCTGTACGAGCACGCTGAAAATGGAGTTTTACCCAAGGAACTAAGTTTCAGTTTTAGAGCAGCAGGAGTGTCATATGATGTGCAAATGGAATTTATATATGAAGCGACACATTATAAAGGAAGCAATGAAGACATTGTTGTTACCGCAAGATTTGTTAAATGTGCTGTTAATGGTATTCCAGGACGAGGCTTCTCAGACTGGCAATACAAAAATTGTATTTTTAAATAAAATAAATAGGCATTGTTATTTGTTTTACAAAGTTTTCCATAATTTCTAATAATTTTAAAGTTTTTCCCAAATTTAGTAATCGTTCTGGCCTTACTAACGTAACCTAAGTAGCACACGTAAAGATATGAAGAAAACTCAGTTTTTTATTCCTGGTTTTCAAAAATTTGTTACATCCCTTTTACGACGAGAGAAGACATACTTATTCTATATTGTATCGTATACTACTAGTTCAGTTAAATTGTATTTTTGCTAGGAAAGTTTTGGGGTAGTTCTGATTTTTTTTCATTCCATATGTTTTTTGGGTGCTTAATCCGAATTTGGGGTTTGTGGACAAAATTTCGTGACGCAACATTAAAAAAAAAACAAAATAAACCGTTTTTTGTCTTCTTTTTTCGGGTTTTTTGCTTAAAACTCGAAAACTACCAACTTTTGGTAAATGGTCTGTTTACAGAAATTAAAGTACTTAAAATTTTCTACAAATACAAGTATTTAGTTTTTCCTTCAGACGAATCGTTTGGTTTCTAGTGCGAGTTGAAATTTGTAAATTTTTAGCATTTTATGCAAAACCCACATTTTACATTTCAATATTTAATTTTTATGGATGCTGTCATGTGATAAATGTCACCTAGTTTTCCACACAAGTAATTAAAAAGAAAAAAGCGAAAAATTATGCAAATTCAGTAGGTAGGTAGAACTCGTAACAAAATAAAACTTAAAATGTCGTTACTTATGATCATATATTATTATGATTATAAATTATAATATGCAAAATTTATATGAGCCGTTGTCTTTTGGAAGGCCCTGGCTGAGGTTCTTCGATAACGATGAGTCCTGGTTCTGCTTGTTCTGCAAAATAAAAGTTTAAAGTTAAGTCATTCATCAAGAAGAGATAAGGTTTGCAAAATAGATTGTGAGATTAAACATACCTTCCGCATCGTAGTGAGGTTCTTCGATGGCATCGGGTCCTGGCTTAGGGTCTGATTGCTCCATCCGCGTCGGGAGTCATTCTCCTGTAAAATAAAAAGAGGAGAGACACATATGATATATCAAGGAGAGATGAATGACTACAAAATAACTGATCCAACATACCTCTCCCTCTTTCTTCAGTTTCTTCTACGTATATGTCAGAGCTGTCTTCTGGGGGCTCACATTCTTCGCATGATGCGCATATTGGGAAACAATGGAGTCCCGCCTTCCTGCATCCACAATTGCGTTGACAGCCCTTTTTACATTTACATGAAATGTACTGGAGTATTGAGTTTGGTGCAGGGTCCAAAGTAGTTGGTACTGGCACAAGACCACGACTAGTTTTTTGCTATCCCCACTCACTTGGGTCTTTTTGTTGCTCGTTAGGTGTGGCTTGACCGGATAACCACTGCTGCACCTGATAGTAAACTCTCAGTGAATATTCTCCTGCAGCAATTTCAGTTGGGGGCAATGAGGAAATGTTGGTCTTATTTTTGAATGATGAAGATACGTATTGTTTATATCTTAAATCGTTTAGTTTTGTCTTTTTTTCCCTATAGAGCCGTGAGAAACATGTTTCCTGCTATGGCAATCTCATCTGGACTTGAATTGGGGTCTTTGAAAGATTCAATTACCGATTGCAAATCTTTGTTCTTCTGCACGACTTTAGGAAATTTTAGTTTCCCTTGATTAAACAATGCAGAAGTAGTATCACAACCACTCATCGCATGCAGGAATAAAATATGATCCAATAGAATTTTCTCAGCAGCCAGATGAGGGTTGTAGAGGCTTTGCGAAACCTTTACTTTTCCTGGCTTCAACAAAAAATACATTTTTTATATCAAAGCTACTAAGGCCAATCAAAATGACCAGTAGGTAGATATCTTCTCCCACCACTGTCACATGTTCATTTGAAGGGGCCATTTCAAGAGCTGTTGAGATAATTAGGATATCAGCATCTTCCACAGCTTGCTTTGAATAAATTTTTGCATTATGAAGTTTCTCCATTAACATAGATAAACCGGCTCTTGTTTTTTGGGTTTGCAAGAAAACTATCCTGCGACACAGTGGGCACCATCATTTGCACTTGAGACCGAACGGTTCATCTGTATAATAACAAAAAAGTTAACAGTTTTCGAGTTTTAAGCAAAAAACCGGAAAAAAGCCAAAAATGACGATTTATTCTAGTTTTTTAAATGTTGCGTCACGAAATTTTGTCCGCAAACCTCAGATTCAGATTTAGCACCCCAAAACACATAGGGAATGAAAAAATCAGAACTTCCCCAAAACTTTCCTACTAGTATCACTTTACAGTACAAATTTACTGAATCATACCGTCCTGAGGAAAAACACCGCATATACAAAGATTATGAAAATTTGGTTGGGCTCAAAAATTAGATATAGAGAGTTTGTATTAATAATAATAATAATAATAATACTTTATTTCCTTTTTGACAAATACAATTTGTATAGGATCAGTCACAGTTTAGAAAACAAAATTACTAAATATAAATGTAAATCTAAAATTACGCTAAACCTAAGGTTACAAACACAAATAGAAAATGTAAAATTACTAGCATATACTTAAAATAATGTCAACTACTAAAATATTCATCCACAGAATAAAACGTATTCTGCAATAAAAAATTTTTTAAAGTTAATTTTAATATTTTCATATTCTTACATTTTTTTATTGGCTCTATTAACTTATTATATATTCTTTGACCTATTATTGCAGGTGAGTAAAAATGCATATTTCCTTTAGAAAAAGGCACATGCAATTTTTGATTCTGCCTTGTATTTTTATTGTGAATTTGACTATTAGTTTTAAATTTATCAAGATTTAAATGAATAAAAACACAGACTTCAAAAATATGTAAGCACGGCACAGTTAAAAGTTTATATCTAGTAAAATAACTCTTACAGCTAGTTATTCGAGAAATACCAGCAATACAACGCACTATTCTTTTTTGAGATAGAAAGACTTCACTGAATTTACAAGACGTACCCCAAAATACTATGCCATACCGCAAACGAGACTCCACCTGAGCATAATACAACATAATTAGCTGTTTTTCACTTAGCGCATCTTTGAGGTTTCGAAGTAGGTAGCATACTGAGTTTATTTTGGAGATAATATCATCACATTGCCTTTTCCAATTGAGACACTCATCAACATACTAACCCAAAAACTTTAGGCATTGAACTTTTTTAATTTGTGTAGAATATATTGATAGTTCGATATCTAACAGATGTTTCTGTCTATTGTGGAAGTGAATAGCATGCGTTTTATCCGCATTAAGATGTAAGTAATTTGAGGAAAACCAATAACTAAGATCACACAAAAGTTCGTTACATTTATTTTCAAGAGATATTTGTGATTTATCTGATATAAGTATTGAAGTATCATCTGCATAAAGTGTAAACTGTACAGTAGAATTTACTGAGACAATATCATTTAAGTAAATAAGAAATAATATTGGGCCAATTACAGAACCTTGTGGAACACCCATATGAATGTAAATATAATCTGATTTGCAAACATTTTCTGAGTGCTGGGATAAATCTGTTAAGGAGACGTACGGAAGACGTTCTGATAGGTAGGATTCTATCAATTTTAGAGAGAGATCTTTTATTCCAATATTTTCTAATTTATTAATGAGTAAGGTATGATCGACACAGTCAAATGCCCTACTGAGATCACAAAAAATTCTAACAGGGCATTCATCCGCATCAATATAGTTAGTTAAAGTCTCATAAAATGAATGAACTGCTGTGTTTGTAGACTTACCTGCCTGAAAGCCATGCTGAGATTTATTAATAATACCGTTCGCCAATAAATAAGAGTTTAATCTGTTAAGATAACAGTATTCGAATATTTTCGAAAATACTGAAGGGATAGTTATTGGGCGATAATTACTAATATCCTTTAGATCACCTTTCTTATGTACAGAAACGACTTTTCTCACCTTTAGATAATCCGGGAAAATACCATTGCAAAAAGTCAAGTTTATTAAAAATGTTAAAGGTGATAGTATGAATGGAATTACTTTTTTTAATAAAAATTGAGGTATTTCATCAAATCCACACGATTTTGAAGATTTCAATTTTCCTATCAATAGTTCACTCAGCTCATTTGGAGTGTAAGGATATAATTGTAAAACATTTTTATTTTCATTATAAGGCGGTTTCCTCAAAGTACTATTTTGATGACCGGGAATTTTAGAACGTACCTCAATTGGAGCATTTTTAAAGAAAACATTGAACATGTTAGCAACAATAAGGCATTCCTCTATTACACAATTTTCTTCTGATTTTAGGCATATATTTTTCCTTCCTTTATTGTCAACATTATTAGTCATGTCAGCAACAAGTCTCCAGGCACTTTTTGTAGGATTATCTGATGACGAAATAATATTTTGGTAATAATTTTTCTTTGTCAAACATAAAAGTTTCTGGTGTTTCCTTTTTTCTAACTTGTAATATTCACGAAGACACGGACAGGATCTAGATAAAACATGCAAGTTTTTTAAGTTACTACTAGATAAGCGTACTTCGGTGTTCACCCATTTTTTACGATCATTTATACCTAATACGTTTATTTTGCAACGGAAAATTAATGTTAAAATAATACGAAAAAATATCAACAAACACATTAAAAGCCAAATTAGTATCAAGGATACCGTAAACAAGATTCCAATCTTCCATAACAAGACCCATAATAAAATTATCTATCCCACTCTCAGAAAAATATCGCTTTTGACAAGACATAGGCAAGGTCGATATATCGATTTCAAGTTCAACTAAAACAGTTCTATGATCGGACACAGTGTTGTCAAGAATACATGATGTACCTAAATTAGACAAATTAATAAAGATATTATCAATTGTTGTTATGCTGGTATTTGTTACTCTTGTAGGCCATTTGACAAGATTAGTATTTATGTTATAAGCAGATAAGCAATTAAGTAGTTTTGTTTGGTTATTGTTTGACGTTTTCATATCAATATTAAAGTCACCACAAATAATATAAC